TATTAATTGAACCCTCAATTCATTAAGTTCGATAATTTCACTCATTTATGTGTTTCACGAATGTAGTCATATAATCTCATCGAACGATGCAATAAATATTATCGTTATAAAGTAAAAAGGTATTTTCGCGAATGATTTTCCTGAGTAATCATTCGTCGTTTTGAGTCATCCTACTACGCCATATAAAAAAAAAAATTATAAATAATCCAGCCAAATTTTATAGATCATCTCTTCAATCATGGATACCAAAGAATTTGTTTCAAGTTCAGAAGCTGGGGGATCTTCTCCGGCTCCTATCGAGTCCGATAAAACTATACCTACTGGTGCTAAGTCAAAAAATGCTGAAAAAAACGAGGCAAAGAAACAAGCAAAACTTGCAAAATTCGCGGCTAAACAAGCAAAGCTTTCTGCCACTATCAAAGTAATTTATTATGGGTTGCTTAAATGATCTAGAAAGTCAACAGTTTATTAACAACTTTATAACGAATTAGGCAGCTGAAGGTGAGAAAAAAAAGGAAAAAGAGAAAAAACCTAAAGTTGAAAAGGCAACGAAAAGTGAAATATTCATTGATAACACACCTCTTGGTGAAAAGAAAGGTATTATAATTATGATTCTTAAGGAAAACCGCGTTATTTTAATAATTAATAATACAGTGTTACTTTTTAAGATATGTCCAATATTATGGCTTCCTCTTATAATCCTAAAGCCGTCGAAGCTGCTTGGTATGCATGGTGGGAAAAGCAAGGCTTTTTCAAACCAGAATTAACTCCGGATGGCAAACCTAATCCTGAAGGACTATTTGTTGTCCCTGCTCCTCCACCAAATGTGACGGGTTCTCTTCATATTGGTCATGGGTTGACTGTAGCTATTCAAGACGCTTTATGTAGATGGTACGTCAGTCTAGCTTCACAACTGAATTTTCGATCTATTTATTCCATTGTATTTTAACCCCAGATTTTAATTAGGAATCGAATGTTAGGCAAAACTGTATTATTTAATCCGGGAATTGATCATGCAGGTATTTCAACGCAATCTGTTGTAGAAAAGAAATTATGGAAAGAAAAGAAACAAACGCGTCATGATCTTGGACGTGAAGCATTTGTAAACGAAATTTGGAAATGGAAAAACAAGTTTGTATTCTAAATTCTTTTTTTTCCCACGCCTTTATGATATTTAAATTGGTTTAATTTGGTTGCAATAAGATATGGCGATCATATTCACTCACAATTGAAACGACTTGGCGGTTCTTATGAATGGGAAAGAAATGTTTTCACAATGGATGAGGTTAGTTTAATTGCGACATGTTCTATTAATTTTTAAAATTCATTCTCATTATTCAACCTTTAGAAACAAAACAGAGCTGTTGTTGAAACATTTTGTCGTTTACAAGAAGAAGGAATTATTTACAGATCAACTCGGTTGATAAATTGGTGCGTTAGACTTAATACCTCTTTGTCAAATCTTGAAGTTGAAAATAAAGACATATCTGGATGCACATTAATGTCAGTGCCGGGATATGATCCAGAGGAAAAGTTTGAATTCGGTGTTTTGACATCATTTGGATATATTATTGAAAATTCTGGTAATATTAATTTATAATTTTATAATAATTAGAATAGCCTTTGTTTATTGAAATTTATTTTTGTTTTATATAACTTAGACGAGAGAATTGTTGTTGCAACAACTCGTCCAGAAACTATGCTTGGTGATACGGGCATTGCTATTCATCCCAAGGATGAACGTTATAAGGTGAGCTTTTAAATTATACGCGTGATTTAAAGTTTAATATAATTTCTTAAATTAAAAAAACATTTTATTAATTATTAATTGTGAAAAAGCACCTTCATGGCAAGTTCGCCATTCATCCATTTAATGGAAGAAGGCTTCCCATCGTTCTTGATGATATTATAGTAGATATGGCATTCGGTACTGGTGCCGTCAAAATCACGCCAGCTCATGATTTTAATGATTATGAAGTCGGGAAAAGACATAATCTCGAATTTATCAATATCCTAAATGACGACGGTACTTTAAATGCAAATGGTGCTCCTTTCCAAGTTAGTCAATATTACTTCATATTTTATTTTATAATACGGTTCATTTTATTAATTATTATGATATATAGGGAATGAAGAGGTTCCACGTTCGTAAAGCTGTTGTCGACGCACTTAAAGATAAAGGCTTATACGTTGAGACGATAGAAAATCCTATGACCGTTCCCATTTGCTCGTAAGATATTAAAACCTTCATCGAATAATTTAAAGTTTTGTTATGCAAATATTTTTTATTTTCTTTTTATAGTAAATCAGGAGATGTAATTGAACCACTATTAAAACCTCAATGGTGGGTCAGTTGTTCCGATATGGCTAAAGATGCGATGAAGGTTTGTATTGTATTTCCTTTTACAAATAATTATGTATATAGCTTTTTATTTAGGAAAAAATTTATACTTATATAAATTAATTAGGCTGTAGAAGAAGGGAAGATGCACATTTTCCCCAAGGCATCAGAAAAAGAATGGTTTAGATGGCTTGGTAACATTCAAGATTGGTGCATTTCACGTCAGCTGTGGTGGGGGCATCAAGTTCCCGCTTATTTCATAAAAATTCCAAACCAGGATCAAGATGTATGTAGAAAAAAATTTACAGAATTTTTTTTTAGTTTTAAGTAATTTTATTAATTTGTTTAATAAACATTAGCCCGCGGATGGAAATTTTTGGATATCAGGTCATAATTTAGAAATTGCTCATGAAAAGGCAAAACAAAAATTTCCAAATGTTGATTTCACCCTGGAACAAGATCCAGATGTGTTGGACACTTGGTTTTCTTCCGGATTATGGCCATTTTCTATTTTTGGTTGGCCAAATAATGTATATTCCTATTTATTTATTTTTTCAAAAGTTCTGATTGAATTATTTTTAGTAACAATGATTTCACACCCACAGACACAAGACCTAAAAACGTTTTATCCCACATCACTTTTAGAAACTGGATGGGACATTTTATTTTTCTGGGTAGCTCGAATGGTTATGTTGGGTATTAAATTAACTGGACAGGTACCTTTTGAAGAGGTTTTTTGTCACGCAATGATTAGAGACGCACATGGGCGCAAGATGAGTAAATCATTGGGTAATGTAATCGATCCGGTGGATGTAATTCAAGGTATAACATTGGAGAAATTACATTCCAAATTATATGAGGGGAACCTTGACAAACGTGAAATAGAAAGAGCGATAGCTGGTCAAAAAGCCGATTTTCCAAATGGTATCCCTGAATGTGGTACAGATGCTTTGAGATTCGCGTTATGTGCATATAGTTCAGGAGGTAATTTTATACTATAATTGTCATTCATTTTTTTTTTTTTTTTTTGATTACTGCACACGATAATAATAATTTATTATTGACATTCTAGGTCGTGATATCAATCTTGATATCCTTCGCGTAGAAGGTTATAGAAAATTCTGTAATAAATTATGGAACGCCACTAGATTTGCGTTAATGAAATTAGGAGATGATTTCAAGCCAAGAGAAAATGGCAAAGTATGTAGGCTATTGTTTTATTAGATTAAATGATTTTGCGTAATTCTAACACACTTTATTCTATCCTTAGAAAACCGGTAAAGAGTCATTAACTGAACAATGGGTATTACACAAGCTAAATCAAAGTACCATTGAAACAAACAAAGCTTTGCACGAAAGAAATTTTATGGTTGCAACCACAGCAGTGTATAACTTTTGGTTACATGAATTTTGTGACATTTATATTGTAAATAATAATATTTCTTTTTTATTAATATTTATTTATATAATAATTTTTTTAACAAGAATATTATTTCTATTTAATATCTAGGAATTGATAAAACCATTAACAGATGCTGATACATCAATTACTGAAAATGTGGAGCGCAAACGATCAGCTCAAGATACTTTATATACTTGTTTAGAATCCGGTCTTAAACTCCTTCATCCATTTATGCCATTTGTGACAGAAGAATTATATCAACGTTTACCTCGACGTCCTGGAGATAATATTCCAACCATCGTCAAAGCAAGATATCCTGTTGCTGATTCAGGATATCATAATCCACAGGCAGAAGAACGATTTGAGCTTGTATTCTCTGTGATAAAAGCTGCTAGGTCAATCACGGCTGAATATAATATCCAGTCCAATGCCTCACGTAAATATTTTGATGCTTTTCTGAATTGTCTATAATCTTATCAAGTCCTCACACTTATAATAATTAATAATCTATTAGTGTTTATTCAGACTGTCTCTGAAACAACTGCTAGTTTTCTTAAATCACAAGAGCAAAGCATTACAACTTTAGTAAAAAGCGCCAAGTCCGTACATGTTTTCCAGAAAGGGGAAACTATTCCGTCCGGCTGTGCTTTAAGCACCGTAAATGATGATGTCAATGTATTATTAATGGTTAAGGTAAGACAAAATTTCTCGATAGGTATTAATAGAAACACATTTTTACTATAATTAATCATAATTTATTTTAGGGGTTTGTTGATATTGATGCTGAAGTTTTAAAATTCCAAAATAAACTTGATAAAACAAATCAGTTACTAACGTCACTTCAGAAGAGAACATCAACTCTTGATTATGAAAACAAAGTTCCAGCAAATGTAAAAGAAGCTGATGAAATTAGGGTATGAAAATTATTGATTAAATTGAATCATTCAATCTATTTAAACACATTCTTACCTAATTTCTAATTTATTAACTAATATTTTCCCATATTAGCTCAAAGCATATCAAGCTGAAATAGATGCTTTAAGTCTTAGTATTCAAAACTTTTTGAAATTAGAAGATAAGTAATTATAAATTATGATAGAAAAGTAATTTAACCTATACATAATAAATTAAGATTGTTTAAATTTTTTAATGTTTAATTAAATGCACATTTGATAATGCCTATAAAAAAAATATTCTTTGCAATTTTTAAAGATTGTAGATCGACCACCTAATTTTAAATCATGAAATGCAAGGATTCTATATGTCTGCTTCATCTAATTCTTCTTTTTTTGCTTGCATCTTAAGTATTCTATCATGATACTTTTTGCTTTCGCCTAATTCACTAAGTATTCTCTTTTCTGCAAGGAAAATAAAAATAAATTTAATAAATAAAATGACAAATTTTAGGGAATTAATAAAGACAACATACCAAATTCTTTTTCCTCTAGAACTAAAGTTGGGTCTAACATTCGAAGTATGCGTTGTTCTAATCTAACCATTTCAAGTTGTTCTTCCAGTTGATGATATCTATCAATACGCCTCTGATGTGCTTTTATACGTTTATTCATCATCAAGGAAATCCAAGTGGGTTGTTTCCATCCTCGAACCCTCCAAAGTTTATAACCCAACTGAGTAATTACTGTATATTTCCTTAAGTTTGGTCTAAAAGGATGTTTTTTCTTTGGAAATATTTTTATTGGTTCTTTGTATTCTGGAGGAGTATATAAACGTTTGTCTAAAGGAATTCTATAAGCTGGATGAGGATCACGTGCGCGATTACCATAAGTCCGTGTATCCTTGACGAATTTATGCAACTTAGGCTATAAATAATTATATGTTAGCATGGGAAATGATTTGAAATAAATAGTTACATAACATACCTTCTTCCAATTTTCCAACTGAATTTATGTATATCAGAATAATGTTAATATGAGTAACGATAACAAATTATCGATTAACAATTAATTAACTTACGATATCCAGAACTTCTTTAAGTCTCCCTTTTCTACCCCATGTTAAGTCATCAATATGTTGGAAAGCTTCCGTATCTCCGTTAAGCGCTTTTATTATAGTAGATTTACACTTCATTCAAAAAGTCCACAAAATATCAAGCTTATTATTCTAAAGTGACAATTAGGAATCATTATTAATTCTTTTTTTACCTCTTGAGCCTCTGATAAATATTCAATGGTCTTGGTTATTGAAGTTTCGTGCCTCCTTAACCTAAATTTTTGACGAATATGGTAGAATAAATACTTTTGATGAAGTTCATCGGGAAATGATTTGGATATTTTAAGTAAAGATTTGTAAAGAGATAGTACTGGTAAACGATGTTGGGGAAGTTTCCAAAAAGGCCTTCTAGGTTTATTTCTTAAACTTTGTAGAGACATTAAACCAAATTTTTTATATAATATCTCAAAATAAAATTTTCATTGAATCATTGATTGTAGAAATATTCGCTACAAATTTATTAAAATTATATTTTAATCATAAGTTTAAACATTATTTTATTATTATTTATTTTTTATCATTCAGCAATTCAATTTTAGTATATTATAAAATCATACGTCTTGCATACTTTTTTTTGGTTGTGCAACATTGATTAGGAAAAGGATCTACATGCAAATAGAAATTAAAATTTAAGAATTTATGTTGATAGAACGTGACGTTGCTACTCTTATCGCAATGTATGTTGAATTTCTTCACTGCAATTCTTGTATTAAATATCCTTCGTCTTCAAAGAAGACCAATTCCGATTTTGGTTAACAGAGTGTGGACATGTAGTATGCCACTCGTGTCTAAATAAACACGAAGAAGATAATTGAGGTATAGTTTTGACATTTTTACGCGTCATTTTTCAAAACTTTCGTATTATTCGAGGAAAAAATATCAAGATTTTTGAATGTGTGAGAAAAATCTTTTAGATAATTCCCCTAATGTTACAAATCATACCTGTCCCGTTTGTAATAAAACGTGCGTGGTTGTCGCACTGACCAATAAGGCAAGGCTTTTTCTATCGGGAAACCTTGTCCTGAATAATTCTAGCTTCCTCTTGGTTTTTTCGACCTGATCACGAGATTTTAGATAAAGCCATTGAGATTATGAAGGTAAGAAATTTGTTGAATTTTCCAACTTTACAATTTTAACCGCACAAATAGTTTCGGCGAACGAATACAATTTCATTGATTGAATTTTTAAAAGACAAAGTGTTCCAACAAAGTCAAATGCTCGAAAAGACGAGAATAGAATTACTTCAATATAAAGAGATTCAAAAGTAAGTTTGTTTAAAAGATTCTTGATAATTAGATTCCATCAAATTTTTATATCCTTATTCGTAACTAATCCTTGTAAGTGAGATACAGAGATTTAAGGATGAAAACGATCGACTTAAATCTCAATTGCAAGAAGTTTGTTCAAAACTTTAAGAGACCATTGGAATCACTGACGACCAGGTTTTATTCTATTTTATTCTATTTTATTTATTTATTTATTATATTTATTTGATTAAAAGGAATTTGTGTTCATTTGATATTTAATAATGAGTCGTATCTAATTTAGTTCACGTAAGTTTCATAAATCATCAATTCCAAATTCTGTTCAAAAATGGCATCAACATTAATGTTACACCGAGTCGGGTAGGTTATACTATTATTATATTGACACGTATCTTTCTTAATGATTCCAATGAGTTTTTTTTTTTTTTTATGTAAAGACGCGTCCACCAAGTACTCCAGATCGACCTAGTCGGGTTTCACTTTCAAATATAACGTCTCCGACAAAGTATCGCGCAAAACAATCGCAACATCATGATGATCATTCAAAAGTATTATCCAAGTAATCATGAAATATCTCGTAACCAGGCATCATGTAATATTGGCTTTGTAAATTATGTTGGGGATAGTGATTTCCTTAGTCAATCAAGGTATAAAAAAAAAGAAATTTATTTTTTTCCAAAAATATTAATATACGAGTTCAAATAATCAAAGTTATAATTCAACATTCGTAATATCAGAGATATGATCCTACCATCTAACAAAAGTTCTTCGGCACTTTTTCCTGAAAGTAACTACGACCAATTTCCTCAACCTGGAACAGCATCTAATCAGCGTATAACGTGGCAACAGTCATGTAATATGCTTAAGGGTATATGCTGAAAGATCTTAAAGTAATTCTTCATTAAAGAAATGTCTATTTATAATGTTAAGTTCATTTTTATTATTTTATATCAATAATTTAGGTTATGAACAACCTCAAACGCCATCGAATTATTCCATGCCAAGGCCATTTCAATCTACTTCAGGTAACTTAATAAGTCCACATCGGGCTCTTATGAAGAGGAATGGAGATGCATTACCAGGATTAAATAAATAGGATATGATTATTATTATTTTTTTGTGTTATTTGTGAATTAATAATATTAAAAGTGATTTATTGCTATATATACATTTTCATCATTTGTATTATGGTGATAAATATGTAATATTTTTTTTTTTGTTATCATTTTTTCAAGAGAAAACATAAAATAAATGCTAATAAATATTCTAATTTTAAATGCATTGAAAATAAAGCGCAACCCAAAATAAAATTTATTTTTATTCGGGATGTTGTTCGCTTAACCAACGTTCACATTCTAAAGCTGCCATACAACCAGAACCGGCACTGGTAATGGCTTGTCTATATTTTTTGTCTTTAACATCACCAGCAGCAAAGACACCTTCAACATTAGTATAAGTGCTATCAGGTTTAGTAATAATATATCCGTCAGTATCCAATTCCAATTGATCTTTCACTAATTCTGTAGCAGGAACGTGACCAATAGCATAAAACAACCCATTAACTGGCAATTCCTTTTCTTCTCCAGTCTTTGTATCTTTAGTAATCAACAGATTAAGAAGTTGACCATTACCTTTACATTCGATTGGAATAGTGTTCCAAGTTACGGTAACTTTTGGATTAGATAGTAACCGATTTGCCATCACTTTAGAAGCACGGAGTTTATCCCTACGAACGAGTACGTAAACGTGAGAAGCATATTTTGTAAGAAATAAAGCTTCCTCGGCGGCTGAATCTCCACCACCTACAACGGCCAAAGGTTTGTTCCTAAAAATTGGAACAGCACCATCACATACAGCACAAGCGGAAATCCCCTTTTGCCAATAAACATCTTCACCGGGAAGATTTAACCTCTTTGCCGCTGCACCGGTGGCCACGATTAATGAATCGGACGTGTCAGGTGCTTGATTTTCCATCCCTTCGCGCCATAATTTAAAGGGTCTGGAGGAAAGATCAATCTTTGATATAGTTTCAGTGATGATTTTGGTCCCAAATCTTAAACTTTGCTGTCGAAATTTATCCATCATTTCTTGACCCATGATTCCTTCAGGAAATCCGGGATAATTTTCCACATCAGTCGTAGTGGTAAGCTTTTATACACGTTATTTATATAATTATAAGTAGAATTTATAAGAGTCAACGCGAAAGTTTCGACTCAAAAAAATAAAAAAAAAAAAATTATATATAAGAAACGAAATTCTTACTTGGCCACCCGCGGCAAACCCGTTCGCAAGGAAACCCTCAAACATTACGGGTTCTAAAGTTGCCCTTGACAAGTAAAGTGCGGCAGTGTGACCAGCCGGACCGGAACCGATAATAACAACTTTTGAATGCATGTCCTTTCGTTGAATTGTTTGAAAAGTTAAATGTTGTAAAGGGAACCCGTTTTTTTGTTGAAAGTTACTTTTATTAAATAAATTTTTAGCGGTATTAATTAAAAATTTTGAACGAATATCAAAAGTAGTGGAAAATCTTAAAACAGGTTTTAAAAGCAAGGACATTAGGTGATAAAAAAAGGGAAAGAAAAAAAAAAAAATATGAATGAATTTTCTTTCGAGGTTTTTATATCCATTTCATTCAATGATTACTAATATCTAAATTTCGTAATTTGCAATTCAATTCACGCCATGCATAATTTTGGTAATTTTGTGTGTTTAATTTTGACTTGTGTGAAGGAAATTTTTTTATATAGCAAATAATCTACAGGACTTGAAAATCAAATATCGCGTGCAATCTCAAAATCATTAAAATTCGAGAAAATAATTTATAATTATAAAATTATTTTTTTATTTAATAGTTTTTTTTTTTTTTTTTAAAAAAAAAAAATATCTTGAAAAAAATAGGAAATGATGTATTTATTTAATTTTTTTTTTTTTTTCTTTCTTTTTTCTTTCTTTTTCTTGAACATCATATTACGTTTTACCTCCGTATGAAAAATTATATTTTTTTCTCAGCCGTGCAACCATCAATTAGAAATAAAACTTACCAGAAATAAAGAGAAGGAAAAAAAAAAAAAAAAAAAAAAATATAGAAGAAAATCGAATATAAGAGCGAGGAACATTATTAATTAATAATGTTCTATTTACATTCCAACTGCATTGAGAAATAAAAATGCATACTAAAAGATTAATTTGAATATTCAAATCGAAGGAATGATCCTATACGTCTAATTGAGTTCATTATGAACTTTAATATAGATTAAGATTTTTGTTGTGGGGCAGCAAAGGTCAGGCGTTGTTCATAAAATCTTATCATCTAAAATAAATCAATAAATCAACAAATATAAATTAATTTAACGAATGAATTAATATAATCCATCAATTAAGATAAATTTTACCTTTTGAGGGCATTTGATATTGGCTTCTTTAGCTGGATGTCTCGAGGTGTCACCATTTTTCCTTAACAAAATTTATAAAGTTAGAATTTAAAAATTTTAATTTTCCAAATTGAAAAATATTCAATTTACCATTTCAAATAGACCAGTAGTTCGCCAGTTTTATCATCACGAGTGACCGTCTCAACCCCTGAAACCAAACTCTCCCAGTCTTCGTCATGATCAAAATCTTCATCTATTTTAACTCTGCCTGCTTTCGCTTTTTTTGGTGTAGAAATACGTGCTTTCTTTGTTTCTTTTTTAGAATGGATGGGAGGAGGAGCAGTAGCAACTCTCTTTCTACCTTTCCTGGTCTCTTTCTGCTTTGTTTCATCAGAATTTTGCTTTGTCCAATATTCTTTTACTAAATCTTCAGCGAAACTATTAACCCAAATAATTATAGATTATTATAGATTATATTATATAAATTTTTTGTTACCAATTTTATCCAACATAAAATATTATTTAATAAATTATTCATACACGTTATCCTCATCTTCCCAAGTAGACTCTTCCTCAGTATAGCCTTTCGAATTTTTTTATTTTATTTTAATTTTAATTATTTTTTTTTTTTTTAAGGAAAAAAAAAAATTGAATTAATTTTAATTTTAAACTTTTTGTAAAAAAAAAAAAAAAAATGAATCCCATTTTTTTTTTTAAAAAAAAAAAAAAAGTTCTAACATTAATTACCTTTCCATTTAATTAAGTAATACGTTTTATTCTAATAGAAAATGTCAATTAATTATGAGAAAAAAAGATAATTGTGAAAATCAAATTCTCACTTACTTTTCTCTTATTATGATCAAGCACCGACTCTACTTCGTAAACCTCAGCTTCATCGTCTTTCTCATTTTTTTCAGTCTTCTCATTTTTCTCATTTTTTTCATTACCGTTCGATTGTTCTTGAACCGCGTCCCCCTCTTCGGGATCTTTGTTTTCCTTTTCATTTGAAGGGTCTTCAATTTTTTGACTCTCATCCTTAGGGATATCTGTCGGTGGCGGTACTTCTATTTTATCTGTAGTCGAAGTATCTTGCTCGGGTTGATCAACCGAGGTCCCTTCAGCTTCGACGGTCGTCGTTACCTCTCCGTCATAGTTCAGATTCAGAAACTGATCAGCAACGTCCACCTCTTCTTCTTGTTTACTGCGTGACATACTTTTTGACAACTTGTCTTTTTTTTATATTTTCTGAACTTTTATTATTATGCAAACCGAACACGAAAATATTTACAATATGAAAACTGTAAACTTTTTTAAAATAAAGTAGCTGCTTTTACATATAACTTTTAAAAATCAATAAAAAGAACAAACATTATTTAGTTTTGATCTAAAACTTACACGAAAAAATACTTACTGTTGCATACAAAGTTAATAAACAACAAGTAACGACTGGCTATGTTATAAGAAAATGCCCTGTTGTGAAAACTCTCTTAAGGATAATGAGAGACAAAAGTAAATAAACAAACGTGAATTTGAAGACTACGAATGTCGTCATGTAATCAAATAATCAAATATTTACCTATTACTAAATTCTTAGATCATGTGATCAGTGATCATTGATTTACCGGAATTTTTTTTTTTTTTACTCTTTTTAAGTGTAGTTTTTTTTTTATGCACGGTTATAATTTTGTACTCATTTCAAACACTGAAAATCTCAATACAAAGATTAAACCTAAAATTGTTGTTCTTTACAAATCTATTTGAACAATAAATTTTAAAAATCATCATTACTTTGGGGGTTTTTTTCTTTAAAAATTAGAAATAATGTAGGATTGGACTAACATTTGATTATATTACAATTTCGAAATTCTATTGTCGTTTACTTAATTGAGTAATTTAACATTTTCCTTTTAACTTCATTTAGAAAACTTTGTTGTGTAAAAAGACGATATTTCTTTCAAAAAAACCCCCAACCAATCAGGTCTTGGCTCTTTTTTTTTTTTTTTCTTACTTCCCCGTTTGTTATTATTTGTGCCACCCAAGTTAAGCCAATAAAATTCGTTTTGAAAAATTGAATTTTTTTTGTGTGGAACCTAAAAGAATTTCATTTCCCGTCTTCCGTTCATTGACTTTGCCACTAAAAAAATTTGTCCGGTTGTGTCGTACAAAAAGATCTGGAAGTTATCAGATCGAATGATCGAATTGAATTATGAATTGACAAATAAGAATAGTTTCTTGATTTAATTAAAAAAAAAATAGGTATTATTTGGACATACACTAATAACTCATAATGAAACTTGATGTCAAAGTACTTCGATATATGTCTTCGGACGAATTCCGAGTTCTAACAGCAGTATGTTCATTTTTCAATATACGAGGTCATTTCATTTAGTATTTAGTCTAAATCAAACCCCATACATTTAGGTTGAAATGGGGTCAAAGAATCATGAACTCGTTCCGCTAACTTTAATTGCTCAAATTGCTGGCCTTCGCCACGGAGGTAGTCATAAAATTATCGGAGAATTGGCAAAGAAAAATTTAGTAGCAAAAATCAAAAATGCAAAATGTATGATTCAAAATTTTTTTTCGTTAATTATTTGACGTTGGAATTTATAATTCTTAATTCTTGATGTTGATTAGATGAGGGATATAGATTAACTTATGGTGGATATGATTATCTCGCTTTAAAAACCTTTGTCAAACGTGGAAGCGTGTCTTCTGTAGGCAATCAAATCGGTGTTGGAAAAGAATCCGGTATTTTGCGTCATTTGATATAGATATATTTCACATCAGTATATTTTCTGATCCGTTATGTTTTCTCATTCAAGATATATATATTGTTGCTGATGAAAGTGAAAATCAACTTGTATTGAAAATTCATAGGTAAGAACATTTACTTCTCCCCTTCTGTTGTTTGTTTCCTAATTATTAAATTGTCATACATTAGACTTGGACGCGTTTCTTTTCGTGCCATAAAGTCAAAACGCGATTATCTTCAAAAACGTAAATCAGCTTCGTGGATGTACATGTCACGATTAGCAGCAATGAAAGAATACGCATTTATGAAAGTAAGACTTAATGTATATATATTTAATGATGGAGGAAAAAAAGATCCTTTTACCAAATTTTGTCATTATGTAAATAGGTCTTGTATGACAATGGCTTTCCTGTACCACAACCAATCGACCAAGCTCGACATTGTGTAGTGATGGAATTAATAGACGCGTATCCACTGTACGTCGTATTTCTTTTTTTTTTTTTTCTATTCTCTAAAATAGTAAAACCTTTACCCATTCATCTTTTAGTCGTCAAATATCAGAAGTAAAAGATCCAGGAAAACTTTATTCTGACTTGATGAATTTAATAGTAAAATTAGCACAATATGGTCTCATACATGGTGACTTTAATGAATTTAATATCCTTGTGAAAGATAATGGAGATCCTATATTAATTGATTTTCCCCAAATGGTTTCTATATCACACTTTAACGCTGAATGGTAAGGTATTTTTTTTTTTGCTTGGAAAAGGTTTCCCTAGAATTGATGTTAAATTTTCTTGATTTTGTAGGTACTTTAATCGAGATGTTGAATGTATTCGTACTTATTTTCGTAAAAGATATAATTACGAGAGTATGTTATATCCAAAGTTTAAATTAGATGTGAATCGTGAATTTTATTTGGATGTTCAAGTTTCTGCTAGTGGATTCACTAAGCAACATCAAGAAGAATTAGAAGCGGTAATGAACTTAAGAATCAAGATTCTTTGAATTAATAGTTGAACATCATCTTTTAACAAAAAAAAAATATTCTATATATATTATATCGTTATAGTATCAAGCAGAATTAAGTGAAAATCAAGATATAGAGGAAGATGAGGTCGGAGGTATATCTGACGATAATTCAGATTACGTTGAACAGGATAATGAGCGTTCTGAAATAATAAAGGATGTAGAGGTGTCTGAACTCGAAACTGAAGAAGAAAGCCATAGCGATTCAGAGGTATAAAATCTTTTACTTATTTCACATTAAATAAGTGACGATTCTTATAATTTCTATCCTTGAATTACAGGATTTAGATTCTCATCCCGGTGATGTTATAACTTCTAACTATACTTCAGATAAAAAGAGTGATCTTGAATTAGAACCGGAACTTTTAAATAATAATAGGAAATATAAAGCGCATAGGGAT